GACACTAAGTCCTCTAGAATTTGAACAACTGCTCGATTTAAAGACCGAGATCCTGACAGAGTTTGATCGACTTGAGATGCTGACAGGTCCTTGTTACCAGCCTACAATTACGCTTACTTAACCTTGTGCTGATACTGACATTAAAGAGTACTACCCCACTAACAACTCAGGCAATGTGTTTACCACTACCCAACACTTTGAGACTGTCGACACTACTTACGTTATTTATCCAGATTATTCAGTTTCTTGGCCGCTGGTAAAGTGAAGCCACACTCAGCAGGAGATGCATGGAGCAGAATCCTGTTGCTGTCAGTCAGAAGTCAAATCTCTCATTAGTGAAAATTCAGACGAGGCAGATGTACGAATCTGCACAGGCGTATCTGTTGCACGTCAACAAAAAGGCGCATATGCGTTCACAGCACACTCAGCGGGCTTAATAGTCAAAGAAGCCAACAGCCAACAGCGCCTTTTCCATGACAACCAGCAGCATGACGATGGAGGTGATGGCAGTAACGCAGGCGTTCGCATGGCTCAAAATACAAATTTTACCCGCGCATGTGTAATCAGTGATACATTGAGTATGATATGGAGGGTTCAGTAGAGTTCGGTGCAAAGGCAATGGCTTGAATCATTACAGAAGTCACCTTTATTTTTGTCCTGGGTTACACGGGCGTCGATTTAAAGAAAAAAGCTGATAGGCTGGCTGGATCCGCTACTACTACCGACTATTAGCCTATGGATCATGCAGATAGTAATAATGCTCTCCGGGAAATTGGAATGATAAATGACTTTAGGGGCAGTGAATCCACATCCCTCGCCAGAATTAGACTTGGGAGTTAAGATCGTCATAGCAAAAAACGAGACACACACCAGGCACATCAGAGGACTTGTTAATCAACATAGAACTGACACTATTAGCCACGGACACTGGAGTTTATACTAAAAGGAGGCTCTGAGCACCTATAGACGTGTCCGGAGTGAAATGATGATAACCCAGCTAACTAACTAATATTTGAGATTTCTGACATCTCCACAGAATTAGTCCTCAGAATAAGCGAGAGTCAGTCAGAATAATGTTCTATGTTCTGACTTTTTTTTCCTCTTTAGTACTCTGAAACTTACTTCGCATCTGTGAAGATTGCTATGTGCTTTTTTTTTTTTTTTAGCTCCTGGCAGCTTTTACGGCTCAGACTGGAGTTAGAATTGTGAAGCCAGATCCTGCTACTGTTGCCTTGACCGCAAGTAGTCTGTCTATGGAGGTCATGGCAGTGACCAAAGCAACAGCGTGACTGGAGGCACATACTTTTTTTCCTGTGCATGCTTTCTCAGGAAGCATCCTTAGGAAGACAGAGAAGGGCTTGACCCGAAGACAGTTGCTGGAGTCTCTGAAGCGGTAGTGGCTGACACATATCAATTTCGTATCGGTGCCAGGGCGCGCAAGCGTGCAAGGAAATGGGCAAGCTGATCTGCTTGCAGGTAAATCTACCATGGAGGGCGGACGAGCCATGGACCATGCTGGTATTCTTAATGCTCTACGCGAAGTAAGACGTTTGCGAGAACCAAATGATGAATGCGAATCTGCAGCAATGACCAGACTGCAAGAACAACATGTTAAAATTGGTGTGACCAGACAAGAGCTCTATGCAGGAAGCCAAAGAAGAATAAGAAACCCACAAAGAACTAACTAACTAACTAACTAACTAACTAACTAACTAACTAACTAACTAACTAACTAACTAACTAACTAACTAACTAACTAACTAACTAACTAACTAACTAACTAACTAACTAACTAACTAACTAACTAACTAACTAACTAACTAACTAACTAACTAACGAACCAACCAACCAACCAACCAAACCCAAACCAACCAACCAACCAACCAACCAACCAACCAACCAACCAACCAACCACAACCAACCTAACTAACTAACTAACTAACTAACTAACTAACTAAACTAACTAACTAACTAACTAAACTAACTAACTAACTAACTACTAAACTAACTAACTAACTAACTAACTAACTAACTAACTAACTAACTAACTAACTAACTAACTAACTAACTAACTAACTAACTAACTAACTAACTAACTAACTAACTAAATTTGTTTATGGCATTGTGGTGCTGGGGTGTCTGGGGATTACCTCCCTCCCCGGATAGCAGCCAAAAGTGCGCTGCGTCAGTTCTTAGGGAAATATGAATTGTGTTTCTGCCTTCCCCTTTGCACTAGCTGAGGTGGACTTACAGTGTGCTCATTTCCCGCCACCAGATTGCCTGCATGTTTCGCTGAGCTCTTCTTGGCTCTAAGCATGGCCTAAGCATGAGTAGTTGGGGCAACTGGATCGTCACGACCTGTCCCTGTGCCTTCACGATAGTTTCCGGTTTTAAGGGGGTTAGCATACTTGTTACCAACTTAAGACTGTTTAGCACCCCTCCGGCTCCTTCCCTTCCATAGGAGGCAGTACGGTGTGGTGCACCGTTTAAAAAAAAATTATTATCGAGGTTTGCTTCTCTAGACCCATTGTGTTTTGCCTGGGTATTGGCACCCCCAGTTACCAGGACCGCACGAGTACTGCCAAAGATGAAAACTCAAGGTTAGCTATACAAAGACGGTCTACACAATCTTTACCAAAAGCAATCAAGTAGCAAGAAAGAATATTAACCTGAGGTTAGACAAGCACCAAGTGATGAAAGAAGTGCATCCTACATATCTTGGAGTCACACTTGACCGGCAGCTGAGCCTCAAGAATCATATTGAAAACATAAGGAATAAGGCATTGAGGCGGTTGCAGTTATTAAAGCGACTTGCAGGTACAGCTTGGGGATCAGACAAGGAAACTCTGAGGGGCTTGTATCTCGGATATGTTCGCTCTGTGATAGAGTATAACAACTCGCTGCTTGCAACCTGTTCCAAGACAAACCTTGAGTCTCTCGACAGAGTACAAAATAATGCCCTCCGATTAATCAGCGGAGCTATGCGGTCTACTCCAACTGCTGCATGTGAAATCCATACTTGTGACGAGAGGTCCCTCATTCTTTAAAGGCTGGCTCCCATTGTGACGCCGCACATCACCACGCAGCCTTTACAGCACGTCACAATGGGGGCAGGCCTTTAAAGAATGAGGGACCTCTCGTCACAAGTGTAATACGACATTTTGTCATATTGGTTTTGCCTCAAGTTGTACACGAAGCACATTCCAGTTGTCACAATCTTTACACATCTCTAGCTGTGGATATCGTCCAATGTATCAAGTCGCCGCCACCGGTCTGTTCTAGCCATCGTTGGATCTTCATCTGGACTCTATCACTCTTCGTTGGATCTCTGTATCACTCTTTGTTGGATTTTCATCGGGAAAGTATCACTCTTCGTTGGATCTTTATTCTCATCCAGTCACCGTTACTGTCTGTGCCACTCTCCGTTGGATTGAATCGGATCAAGTCTTCCTTTTCGTTGTACATTGATCTGCCACTTGCGTTGTATTGGCCATTATTTTGGCGATTTTTCATCGCTAACATTGCAGTGTTTTGTCTGCCACCCAATTGGTAAGTCAATTGTGGTTATTGTGGTTTCTGTTGCGCTGACAATTTTAACTCTTTCCTCCAGAGAACAGACCTGGTTTTCCCGTGCGCAAGTGGAGAGCGAGTGGCACATTAATTGTTACGTACGTGTGTGACAGTACGCAGTATTCGTCGTCCTGTGGCGTCACTTCACCACACACTATCATATATATCATATATTGTATATTGATTGTCATATTACTTAAATATGTCTACATTTGCTGAGTTTTTGGAGTTAGGTCGAAGTATAGGCCTAGAAAATGGACAACTCCTGGCTTTCGCCGAAGCCAGAATGAAAGAGTTGTCGGACAGAGATAACCAGTTACGCGATGAGAGAACGGCGGAACGCGCCTGGAAAAAAGAAATGGAGTTGGAGAAATTACGCTTGGAAAAAGAAGCCGAGGCTGAGAAACTACGTTGGGAAAAAGAAGCTGAGGCGGAAAGACTGCTTTTCGAAATGAAAACTAATTTGGAAAGGTTACGTTTGGAGAACGAATTAGAACTAGCGCGTATAGATAGAGACAAGGTTGTTGCTGTGTCAGAATCAGAGAGCCGTCGTCTTGTGACTAGTAGCCGTTCGGGTTCCGAACAAGGGGCATGTGTCTACATACCCAAATTACCATTTCTTACACCTACAGAAGATCTTCATAATTTTTTGGATCGCTTCTCTTTAGCGATGAATACAGCTAAGATACCAGAGGAACAATGGGTATCACGTTTAAGGGATTTACTAAAGGGACCAGTTTTGAACACGTTCACGAACTTATCAGAAGACGAACGCGCGTCGTTCGAAATAGTCAAACAAAAACTGCTGGCGTCGAAGTGCATGACCGAAGAAGGTTACCGTGTGCAGTTTAAATCTGTTGTGCCATCCGTCGATGGAAGTTTCGCTGATTTTGTAGCCCATGTTAGAACGTTGTTTACGCGTTGGGTGACATTGGCAGATGTAAAAAAAACTCTTATAAGTTAGCTGACCTCATTATTCGGGATAAAATTTTGTCATCCTGTAGTTCGGAGATGTTCTCAATTTTTCAGGAAAGGAAACCGAAGTCAGTTGAGGAGATGACGACATTGGGAGAACAGTATGTCAATGCACATCCTGGTAAACCATTACACAACCCCAGGTTCGATGACATACTCCCAGCTGCATCTAGTATTAGGGTGCAGCAAAACGCCTCGTCAAGTCGGCCCGGGTGGAACAAATCCAATAATAGGCAAGGGTGCTATCGCAGCCACAGCGAACAGAGACAACCACCCCATAGAGATCAAACGTCCAAAAAGCAGGGTGAACATTATCAACCCCGTTCATCTCCTTGTTCAATCTGTTTGTCGTGGAGACACAAAAGTTCCGATTGTCCCTGCAACCGACACAGGAGGGATGATGATGACGGTCCATCATCACGAGGCAGGTTTCAACACAACACAGGTCCCCTAAGGTGCTATGTCTGCCGGGGTTTCCATAAACGTTCGGATTGCCCAAGGGTTGTGAACAGTCATGCTAATTCCGCGCAAGCAGTAAACACAGCGATGTCACAAAAAGTGACAAATGTAGCGGACGGTCAGGTTCGAATCCGTCCCGAAATTGTTTACCCAGCGCTGTCCGCTGTACCACTGGAGGCTGGTTTACCTTTGCATAATATGTTATTGGTGGAAGTATTTTTCCCCATAAAAGAATACACAAGGCAACATGGGAATCACCAGACCATAAGACAACTAATCAAATTGACCACATATGTATTAACAAAAAGTTTAGATCATCCCTTTACGATGTTAGGGCTTTCAGAGGTGCCGATGTATTTACTGACCATTTCCTGGTGATAAGCAAAATCAAGTTGAAACTAAAAAGATATATAACATCTTATAATCATAGAAACCAATATAATGTAGGCTTTCTCAGAGATAAAGAAATTAAGGAACAGTTCTCAGTCACGGTCTCTAATAAGTACCAGGTGTTGCAGCAGTTAGCTGAAGATGTCAACACAGAAGTCTGCTGGGATCAGATCAAAGGAATCTGGAATGAATCTTGCGTAGAAGTTCTTGGCAAGAAAGAAAGGAAACATAAAGCATGGATATCACCAGAAACCATTAAACTGATTGAAGACAGGAAAAGTAAAAAGGCAGAATTAAACAATAGCAAAACTAGAGCTGCTAAAGCTAGAGCTCAGGAGAATTACACAGAAGCCAACAAGGAAGTTAGGAGGCATATAAGGGCAGATAAAGTGAAATATCTAAATGATCTAGCACAAGAAGCGGAGACAGCAGCAGCAAAAGGTAACCTCAGAGAACTTTACAGCATCACAAGAAAATTAGTAGGTAAATATAGTCAGCCAACTGGATCAATCAAAAATAGTCAAGGAAAGGTACTTACTAACACTAAAGATCAAATGGACAGATGGGTTGAATATTTTGAAATGCTTCTAAATAGACCACGCCCAGAGGTTCCCCCAGATATCCAGCCTTTAGAAATGGAACTGAATATCAACTGTGAGATACCATCCAAAGAGGAAATTAGAAAAGCTATAAATCTTCTTAAGGAAGGAAAGGCGTCAGGCCCAGATGGTATCCCAGCTGAAGCCATCAGGACCAACATAAACACATCAACAGAATTGCTACATAGATTATTCAGTAAAGTCTGGGAGACCGAAGAAATACCAGCAGACTGGAGGGAAGGATATCTTGTGAAACTGCCCAAAAAAGGTGATCTACAGGAGTGTGAAAACTATAGAGGAATTATGTTGCTGTCAGTTCCTGGAAAAATATTAAGTAGAATTATTTTGGAAAGATTAAAAGATGCTATTGATAAAATGCTAAGAGATGAGCAGGCGGGTTTTCGGTCCAACAGATCCTGTACTGATCAGATAGCCACATTACGTATTATAATAGAGCAAAGCATTGAACTGAACTCACCACTTTACATTGGATTTATAGACTATGAAAAAGCATTTGACAGCATTGATAGGGAATCTCTCTGGAAATTGATGGGGCACTATGGAATCCCACAGAAAATTATCAACTTAGTAAAGGCAACATATAAAGACATGAAATGTCGAGTTCTTCATGAGGGAAAGCTAACAGATGCATTTGAAATAAAAACAGGTGTGCGACAGGGATGTCTTTTGTCGCCTCTCCTATTTTTACTGGCTATAGACTGGACTATGAAAACAGTAACTGCTAACACCAAGAATGGAATTCAGTGGACCCCTACAAAACAGCTTGATGATCTGGACTTCGCTGATGATATTGCCCTTCTGTCCCATTCACGGAATCAGATACAGGATAAATTAAATATACTTAATGCGAGATCACAGCAGCTTGGTCTGAAAATCCATAAAGGAAAGACAAAGATAATGAGAATAAATCAGGCAAATAGTAATGTGGTTTCTCTTGATGGCACCCCACTCCAAGACGTGGAGTCGTACACCTATTTGGGCAGTAATGTAGATAAAGATGGAGGAACTGATAGAGATATTAAAATAAGAATACAAAAGGCAAGAGGGGCTTTCATAGCACTAGGGAATTTGTGGAGGTCAAAAGAAATTAAAAGAAATACTAAACTAAAAATTTTTAATTCTAATGTCAAATCAGTACTATTGTATGGGGCGGAAACATGGAGAACAACGAAGGCAATTACTAATAAATTACAGACATTCATTAACTGGTGCCTGCGCAGAATAGAGGGAATAAAATGGTATGATAGAATAACTAATGTAGAACTTTGGGAGAGAACTAAACAGGCTCCAGTGGATCAGGAGGTGAGGAAAAGACGCTGGCGTTGGATAGGGCACACACTGAGAAAACAGGAGAACAGCATAACTAGAATGTCTTTGCATTGGAACCCACAGGGGCATAGGAATAAAGGAAGGCCAAAAAACACATGGAGAAGAGAGCTGGAGAATGAGGTTAGAAAGATTGGGAGGACATGGGGAGAGCTCCATGTAATGGCGAAGGATAGAACGACTTGGCGTGAGTTGGTTGAGGGCCTATGCTCCATTGGGGGATAAAAAGGCAGAAGAAGAAGAAGAAAGAATGGTTATATTGGAAACATAAAATCTAAGGTATTACGCGATACATGCGCCAATGTGATAGGAGTGGCTAGATATCTAATCCCCAAATCGGCATACTTAGGTTGGTATTGCAAGTGTCGTACTTTTGGTGGTCGTCTAGAAAGATTTCCTTTAGCAAAAGTCTATTTAAATAACCCGTATTTTGAAGGTGTTGCCGAAGTGTGTGTTTTGGAGAGACCGTCAGCAGACGTACTCGTTGGATCAGTTCCAGGAGCAAAGATGCCCTCGCGTGAGGAAATCGAACGCTGGTATAAGGAAAATGAGGGTGTGACTGAAGCTAATGCTGCAGTTACACGCGCTCAACAGAGAGTAAGTAACGAGGAAGCCACACCTGCGTTACAGTCAGCTACTTTGAACGAAAACCAAATAGCTATCACATGTGGGATAGCTAGCGAAGAAGCACTTAAGAATGAACCAGAACGACCAAAAGAGCTTGGAAACGAACCACACGCACCGAAAACAAACAGTTTTGCGATACAACAACGGGCTGATCCTACCCTCACTAAATGCTTTTCTAGGGCAGAAGTAACCGGTGTTAGAACATGTAAGCAAGGTACATGGCATTTTTATATGAAGAATGGAATTTTAATGAGATATTTTCAATCACCTGGTATACAATGTAAACAATTAGTCGTCCCTGTAGAACCGATGTTCAAAGAGTTGCACACGACACACCTTTTGCTGCACATTTAGGTATAGGTAAAACACAGAAAAGAGTTCTTGCACAATTATATTGGCCTGGTTGTTCCACTGACATTAGGAAATACTGTAGGTCATGTAAAGACTGTCAAATGATGGCGAGAAAGGATGCATCTCAGAAACCTCCTATCCAAAGGGTCTATCTTCCATGTCGCCCTTTCGAAAAAGTTGCTGTGGGTCCGCTACCGCTTGTTTCACAAAGAGGATTTAGATATATCTTAACTTTTGTAGACATGGCATCACGTTGGGTTGAAGCAGTACCGTTACGTCATATCACTACTGAGTCAGTAGCAGAAGCATTGATGCTTATATTCTCTCGAGTAGGCTTTCCTGAAACAATCCTATCGGATCACGAATCACAGTTTATTTCAGAAGCAATGCGCTCTTTCGACAAATTACTTGCCATCTCTCACGTTTTTTCTGCAAGATATCACCCACAATCAAATGGGCTAGTAGAAAATTTAAATGGTAAAATAAAAGCTATGCTAGCAAAAGTTACTACTCAATTTCCAGCAGACTGGGACAAATACCTTCCTGCGGTATTGTTCGCGTATCGTGAGGTGCCCCAGAGCAGTACAGGTTTCTCACCTTTCGAATTTATATATGGTGCTAACCCCAGAGGTCCACTGTCGCTGTTAAAGGACATATGGATCGGTAAAGGCGATCAAGAAGAGCCTCAAACATATATTAAATTCGTTACAGAGTTACGTCACAAGATAAGGACAGGTTGTCAAGTTGCACGGGACAACTTGGAAAATGCTGGTACTCATCAAAGAGAGTACGTTAACCGTAACCGGAGACTGATCACTCTCCAACCTAATGATGATGTATTGATATTTCTGCAGGATAATAATAATTGTTTATTGGCCAAATGGCAGGGTCCTTTTAAAGTTATTAAGAGAATTTCAGATGTGGACTATCTTATTGATGTCAGAGGACATCATAAAGTATATAATCTAAACATGCTTAAAGAGTTTAAGTCTCGCCCTAGTGTTCTGTCTGAAGTGTTAGAAGCAGCTGAGGCACCCGACACTAATTTGCAAGAAGAAGAAATGGAGGCAGGATTCTGCCACGTCATTGACGAAGAGAGCAATGATGTCGAGGTAGACACTGCTCATCAATTGTCTCTACCCGAACTGGTACCCAGAGAAACATGGAGAGACGTGGAAGTCGCGCCTTCGGTTCCACCAGATATGGTGCGTCGTATAAAGCGTATTTTAGCTACATTCGACAAAACATTATCGGACATGCCGGGTAGAACGACAGAAGCAGTGCATTCCATTGAATTAATAGATCATAAACCCATCAAAATGAAACCATATGTTATACCTTTTCATTATCGGGATGCCGTGGATAAGGAAATCGATAACATGATTAAATGGGGTATAATAGAACCGTCGACATCACCCTATGCTTTTCCTATAGTGGTTGTCTGAAAGAAAGATGGAAGCCTTCGGATCTGCATAGATTTTCGAAAATTGAATCGAATCACGGTTGTAGATGCGGAAAATATCCCAAATATGGAAGAGATGTTTGTTGCATTGTCAAAGGCTAAGTATTTTACAAAGTTAGATCTTACCAAGGGTTATTGGCAGATTCTCTTAGCCGAGGATTCCAAGAAATACACCGCGTTTCAGACGAACAAAGGTCTGTTTAACTTCAACTATCTGGCTTTCGGGCTTTCGGAAGCGCCTGCTACGTTCACCCGCCTCGTACGCAAGTTGTTACAGGGTCGTAATGATGTTATTCATTATCTGGATGACATTCTGCTTTTCCATAATGATAAAGACGAACATATTCGAGGTCTAAAGACATTACTGGAACGCATAAGGTCGTTTAATC